GAGATGATAATTAAAATATGAATCTGTTACTACAAATATTTTAATAGCATTAAGAGCAATCATAAAATATGCTCAACTATATTATTTCTCAAGGGATATAGAGTTATTGAAGAAAAGATTCCAGATATTAGTTCAGAAAACGATAAGCTCACTTTTGAAAGGCAAAAGGCCTGGTGCTGCTCAACAACTCCTGAGCCCGCCATCTGTGGCATTAGTCGCATTTGGGTGTTCAGCATGATGCGACGGAAGAAAATTGCTTCTCGGATGTTAGAATGCTTGAGGTAAGGACCTTCTTTTTCATTAGCATGAACTGTTAACAGGGGCACCTGCGTTATATTAAAAAAGGGCAGGGCGGGCCACCATCTTAACTTTTCTAACACCCTCCCTGTGGTTGCCCCTGACTCTTAAGGTTTAAGATATTTGACTTCAGTCTGTGAATAAGTGTTCAACTTTTACTGTATCTTAGGTATGTAAAATATTCCTCATACCTTTTAATCAATCGGAAGTAAACCAATCAGAACTAACAATTGCTAAATTGTTCACTAGTTGTTATTTGGAAAATCTTTTAATTATTATGAGATAGCAAATGTAGCTATTTCAAAGATGTGGTAATTGTAAGAGAAGGATGAGATTAAGGGATGTGGTGAACAGTTCGGGGAGTGTCATCAGGGCACCATCTACCCCCAGGATTGATTACAACTTGTCACCCCATGCAAGCTGACAGAGCCAGGTCTTAAGTCCTTTCTAGAAAACCGGGAGAGTAGGTAGGGGCCTGCCGCACCTCTTGGGGGAGGATATTCCAAAGGGCGGGGGCAATGGCAGAGAAGGCTCTCCTCCTGGGCCCCGCCAGCCAACATTCTCTGACTGATGGGGTCCGCAACATGCCCTCTCTGCCTGACCGGGTGGGATGGGTTGATGTGATGCGAGCGAGACGGTCCCTCAGGTAACCTGGACCCATGGCATGTAGGGCTTTAAAGGTAATAACTAACACTTTGAATTGGACCCACACGCAAATTGGGACCCAATGCAGCTCCCGCAGTAAAGGTGTTTGTATGTGCCATTCTTGGGGCACCCAAGATTGTCCACGTGGCTGCATTTTGAATCAGCTGTAGCTTCTGGATACTCTTCAAGGGTAGCCCCATGTAGAGCACATTGCAATAGTCTAATTTTATTGCCACAGTGATTTTTTTAATCTTGTCTTTAATCAGGAACAATTTTATATATGGCTCATACTTGAGTAAAGAAGAAATTGCTTTTTCTGACCCTACTCCGGATGGAAAATTGTTTGCAACACAGTATTTTGGTACTAGCCAATTTTTGGTATATAATTTTCTCAGTGGACAACAGCCTCAAAGTGGTAACATTTATAACAAAAGGTAATGAGAAGTCATTAACTCTGTTGCTTGATTGCTGATGTTGACCAACAGATTTGGACATTTATTAGCAGTGAACTCAGGAGTAGTTGTAACAACCAAAAAAGATGATGGTTGTATTTTATTAAAACTGTAAATAGCACAGAAGTAGGGCAATTTTAAAAGATATTTTTATAAAAAAATATGTATTATCTCTAGTACAGTAGCCATGTTTACATGCAGCAGATAATTTGTTCATAGTGGACTGTCAATTAGTGCAAGAACAATGGTCGCCTTTTAAGTATATTTTGAAGTTCACAATGTAATAGTATACCAAGGCAATGAGAGAGTCAATCTGTATTTGGGAGAGGTGTGAAAACATTCTGTGTTCAAGATCATCAATAAAAACTAGTGTCTAATAAAAGTCTATAAATGGTTCAGTATGTAAGTTGAATGGAAATAATAGTTTAAAAAGGAGAATATTAGCTCCTTTTGCCTCAACTATACTTTAGCAATAGCAAACTGGGTATATACTTTAATTTGTGGACTTCACTTGATACTTTAACCTAAACCCCTCCTGTTTCAGAGGGTGTACATAATGAAAAAACTACTGTGGCCTTTCTTGACATGTATATAATGTAGATTAAAAAAGAAAACATTTGATAACTTTTAAATAATCTACTAATGCTATATGTATTTAAGCAATGTCTTTGATATTATTGACTATTAAAAGTTGATTGAAACACTGGTCTAGTGTATTAATGATTTGGGATGATTAACAATTGCAGCATTAGCATTTTGGTGATCATTGAGCACATATCTTAATATTACAAAGGAAGTTTTCAATCTACAAGTAGCGTGGCCAGTTCAAAACAGTGGGCCTATATAATTTGCTATTCTGCTTCCAAGATTTGCTAGAGAAATGTCTCTAAGATGTCTGTTCTTCAGGAATACAATGATTTTGATGCTAGTACTTCTTCAGGTTCACTACGTACAAAATAGGCTTATGGTCCGATTGCTGGATTTTTTTTTTTGGTGAAATAATTTAGTATTGGATATACAGCTAAAGTATGTCTGTAAGTCTTTTCTTACACTGATCATGTCACAGAAAGAATGGCTAAGCCACTGTTTAGTCAGTGCTAATAAGACCACCTTTTGATGTTGGGAAATCATAGACTGGGAAGTTTATCATGTGAATTTGAGACTATACTAGGCCCAAAATATGAGCATACCTTCTTATCTTCTGAAACTTAAAATTTGGAAACATTTCATAGTGTCTGCAAAAGGAGTGCTCCAACCAGAGATTTCTTAAAACTTTTTCTTCTATTTAACTTTTTTTAAAAAAATGAATCCCTGTCATTTTATAGAACTGCAGTTATAATGTAGGGATGTAGTCCCCAATGGCTATCCCTAATGCTAGTTCTAGGACTTAAACCTCGGTGACACTTATAATTCATTCATATTTCCCAAAGGTGGTAAAACAAAAGTCTCTCTATATTGAGGTAGGCCTATTGATCCTAACTAAGGTTTGGACAATGTAGCCTTCAGTTCATGAGCTCTTCTTGCCTTGCTTCAACCGGAAGAGAGTTTCCTCACCACTTTCTGAATCTTAAGGACATTTTTGTCCCTTCTGCACTAAGAAGGGAACATGTAAACCAGGGAAATTATGGCAGCCCATTCTCACACTGGTGAGCCACTGTTTGTGTGTTGATCTCACTACAGATGAAGTCAGTTTTAATGTATTAAGAAATACAATATATGCTTCCATAAAACCAAGCCAAATATTCAGAAGTGATACTGTGCGGAAACAAAGGACTTCTCTCCAAATTGTTCTCACTTCTCTCCAAAAACAGACATGTATTTTGCAAGGCTTGTGTGGCTCTTTAGAAGCTGCTGTGGCTATCTTTGCAATTTATGAAGCATCATGTGAGCCTTGAAAAAGACAATAGGTTTTTAATAGAGAGATGCTTTGTTCTGCTGTGTGTGATAAAACTCCTCTTGAATGCTTTGCATTGCCTTTCTCCTTAACATCACAGTATTGCTTCCTGACAATGAGAACTAATTTAAGCATCTACAGTCACCTTGGATTAATGATCAACTAGTACAAGTTCAATTATTAGTTTATATATAGGCTTTCGGAGTAATAGTAAGTTTATTGTATCAGTGACTAGTCAAAATAAAAATTCTCAGAGATCAACATAGTGTAAACCTAATAAATTAATTTAAACTAGACACAGCTGGCATTCATTAACCACTGTGCAGAATCTGACAACAAAACTACACCTAGTTCAACAGTAGAAAAATATCTCTGCCCTGCTCTATATTTAGACTAATAAGGGTATTACGTGGATTGAGTGAGACTCCCTATAAAGTGATCCATTGAATCGGTCTACGCAAACATACGTCATCAACAGTGGGAATGTTAAATATTTGCTCTCCAGTAGCATCTATAAGGGATTTAAATGAGCTACAGTAAAGGCTCTAACATGCTTTATCTAGTTAGTATTAAATAACAGTCAGGATTAGAAGTTAGTTCCCCCATGCACAATGTGAACAATAATCACACTGGTTGTTGGAAGCTCAATGTCACCAATGTGTACCCTGAGGGACCACTTAGCCCTAATCCCAAGCAATGCCTATCTGTCAATCAGCCAAGGGGCATCTTGGGGACATACCAAAATGGCAACTTCTTGGTCATATTTGAGCACATGTGCCACTGCAAAGTAAAGTTAATGTTTATACACTGGCTCCTGCCTATATGGATTTATACCTTCACAGTATAGCCAGGCTTTTGAAATGGACAGATGATAAAATAGCATACGTTTACCTGAAGCAATACAAACAGCATAATTTATACCAGTGTTTCTCAACTGTGACAACTCTAAGGTGTGTGGACTTCAACTCCCAGAATTACCCAGCCACCATGCTTGGAGTTGGTCCACATATCTTAAAGTTGTTGAGTTTGAAAAACACTGATTTAAACACTATTGTATTCTGAAAGTTTAATTACTCAGAACAATTGTGGAACATTTTTTCTAATTCTAAACTAAAAAACCTACATCACTTACCTTTAACAAAATTAGAAGAACAAGCAAAGCAAAACAAAACTAAAAGATTGGTTGTATAATGGGAAAAAAAAGCTTAAAAGTACTGTTATTTCATCTAAGTGGACCCACAGACAGTTTAGACTATATTAAGACCAACACTTCAAGGTAATAACATTACTGAATTTAATGAAAGAACATTATAAACATACTATAGACACAACTGCAGACAACTTCAGTTAAAATAAATGTGAGGTAGACTGATTAGTGAAGCTAAATTCACCGTGTTTTGGTTAAAAGTTTTACACCAAGGACTGCTTCAAATCTGAAGAACTTCCTATAGAGTGGGTAGCTCTATGTAGGAAACAAGAAGACAAATAAGGAATTGTTGATAGACAAACAAGCCAAACGTTTGTTTCAAAATATATATACATGCTCTGGGAAGCTGCAACCAACTTTGCATAACAAATCTGGCATCTACGTCATTATCACGTCGTTGATTTACGGATTACGTGCTTTATTCCTTAAAAATTTTATCTGGCTAGGAAACTGGTCAAGTGTGAAGCAGTCCTAAGAGAGCAACATTTACCCTCTTTTTTAGAGATCACACAAAGCAACTGTACAAATTACAGAAATATCTGAGTCATTTTTAAAAAATTACAGATTACATTCAGTATAACCTGGGACTTGTCAATTACTTGTATTTAACAAGCTCACAGGTAAAATAATGCTGGCCTTTTAATACATTCATGTCATCTACCTTGCTGCAAGGCTTGTAAATGAAATAACAACATGGTAACATCTGGTATCTTGCTCTGATCTCCTGTCCCATTTATCACATCCAGAACTTATTTCACTGTACTACATGAACCTTAACGTTGAGTTTGTGAAGACATTTATTAAAGAGGTTTCAAAGAATATTCAACCAAAACTCTTCTTCCTTTGCTTTAGTGATGCTATGTTGAACTACCAATTGTTCTTGTCCAATTTAGAAAATACCTTTTAGGATCTTTCCACACAATCACACAAAACATTGCTTAGTAATAAGGGAGAGTGGAGTTTTTATACATCAGTGATAAACACATATTCCTGCACAATTTGTTCAACAGGGAGTGCACTAGTAAATTCTAAATAAAAACTGCTTGATTTGGATAGCATGTGAGTTAAACATTTTGTGCTATGATTACAACTCAACAGTATTAAAAACTATGTGGTGCATCAAATAAAATAGGAATGTGCTATCCAGGAAATACATTTTTTTAGGTATAAAGCATAGTGTTTGCTCAGATATTATATTCTCCCTCAAATATGGCCCCAAAGCCCGATTGTGTGAAAAGACCCTTTATCCCTAAATTCTCAGCCTATATTTTTATACCTCTTTATCAAGGGTCAAAGCACCTGGAATTTTAAGAACATAGTGCAAACTTCAAATATATAAAGAAGATTTTAAAAGCTTTCAATCTGCAAAATTTGCAATAAAATGGCAACTCTTTGGAAACATTTACAAATTATGTTCAGCCCCATATAACTAGAATAAAACCTAGGTTATCTGAAATCCCATACTTGTAGCTTTTATGTAAATTTCTACTCCAAAAATGTAAAGGTATTTATTAAAGTATAAGGCAGATTTTATAAGGGTACCAAAAAAAGAATAATCTACACTAAAGTAAACAATTGTTCATTTGAAATATGCTACATTTATGTAAAAGTACAATAAAAACAATAGGTTTGAAAACCATTACTTTCCTTTCAACTTCAATATATTATGCTTTTCATTATTTGTAAACAGCTCTTTCACAAGGTAAAAAAGTTGCATGATTAACACTTTGTTCTAAATGCAGTTTGGGCAGGTGCTTAATTGAGAATTGCAGGTATCACCATTTGTATTTAAACGGACCGGACCAAATTACTATCTGTGTTCACCATCTTATGAAATAGGCTGCACAACTTTAAATATCTGTGCAAGAAATGTAAGAATGTGTCTGAAGGAAGAACTATAGTAAAAGATAACAGTAAGAGAAACTGAAAACTGACTAATGAGCAGGAAATAAGGGGAATTCTGTCTATTGTTAACTGCAGTATGAAGACTGATTGTACTAGACTCATTTAAACACTCAGCATATTTCACAGCACAAAGTGCTGGTGCAAAGAACTTCACTTTCAAACAACTTAATGCCTATTTAAAATTTAATACATCTCTTTCTCTCTAATTCAAACAAAAAGCACAGGGCTTGATCCAGTCAAGCACATACACGGTATTTGCATATGAAGGAGTTGTGCTAAGCTCAAGAAAGCTCCAGTTCTCCCATTCCCCACCAAAATACACACATGTGCAAGCAGTGCAAGAGGCATTGCAGCAGGAGATGCTCTGGACCTACCTCCCATATCCCCAACTTTGTGCCATGTAAAATTACTTGAGCTCTGGAGCAAAAGCATGGCACCAAGGTGCCAGATCCAGACAGGAATACTGCCCTGTTATGGTGCCTCCATGTGCTCACACAGGGAAGTTGGGAAACAGAGCTTTACGAGCCCTGCAGGGCCAGTGTTCAACTGCTTCAAGCCCTACAGATCTAAAATAAACTGGCCAACTTTTCCAGGTGTGTTTTAGACTTCTGTAAAGCATGGTGTCTGTTGCTGGTCCCAGTTCAGGGGAAAGTGATTCCTAAAGGACTTACAAGCTTTTATAATTCAATTACATAATGAAGTACTAAGCCCCATTATTCCTGTTCTGTGGTCAGTCTCTTCTTAGAATAGTAAATGCTCTTCATAAAAGCACAAAACCAACATTTTCTATTCCCAGCACTCAAGACAGCTGAGGCAGGGAGGCATCCATTGCAAAAATAATGCCAGGAATTTCAGCTATATAGGAAACGAGGTTACTTAGCCACTTCAAAACAATATCCCATAACATTGAGGACAGAAATCAGTGGTGGACCTTAAATATACTGAGGAAACAATATGCAAAAGCTATCTATTTAGGCTGGCTGAGCAGATACTTTTCAAACCATAGTCAGTGATGATCTGTGTGCAAAAAACAGGTTTGTACGCAGCCTTTCTTTTGGGATCCAGTTCCATATGTACTGTTGAAGGAAAAAAGTGATCACCTACACAATTTCTCTCCTCGCAAAGGATCTCTGGATTTAAATCAATAATGGATACCCCAAACCTGCATCTTTATACAAATGCCTGCCATACATTCACTGATTTGTTCAGGCTTCTGTAGTAAACGTTTTAACTTTTGTGGAAACTTTGCCAAAACAGTTTCAGTACATAAAAATTACAAACCTTAACCTAACACTGCACAGAAAGTGAATAAAGATTACTCTTTCAAACACAAATATCTGTGTTTTGTAGTTTCAAACCCCTGAGATACACTGTACCAAAAGTACAGATATGAAGAGAAATGGACAGCATTCCTCAGTACATTATCTTCACATAATTCCACTTGCTTAGTATGAGCCTCATGTAACTCAAGCTGACAGATGCCAAAAGTAATTTCATCCCCCCTCCCCTTCAAAAGATTTCTCCATATCTTAGTCACAGTGGGTATATTATCTTCTATATCAGTGACCCACAAGGAATTAATTTGAAATCAATGCTCTTTCAATCATAAAATAAGAGAGAACATGTCTAAAAGTGGGCCTGAATTTGGAGAAATCCTTAAAGTAATGACTGAACTTGGGTTGCACTTTGCTCCATAGTGATTGTACTTTAACTGAAATAAGGAAAAAGACACAATTTGGCTCATCAGGTTCTCCTGTGTCCTGTGCCGTTGACTCAAGCTTATACATGGCGCCCAGTCAGAAAATAGAGTGGCTTGTCATCAGAGCTGTTAGCAGTTTGGAATTCATCTCTCAGACGGAACTGCCATTCATCTTCCAGCTCTAAACGGACAATGGTTTGACGCAAGGAACTCCTGTCTTGGCATATGACACACAGTGTTGCACCTGAAGTTAAAAGATTAAATTAAATAACAGACGGTTTATACCACGGTTCAATTTCCCCAGCACTTACATTCTGAGATTGCTCTCTATTGCTTGGAAACATTATCACACACATGTGCAAATGCTAAAAATATAAAGTAATATTAAGGGTTAATAGAATTCTGTTACTGCTATTAAATATTTTGCCCTTTTTCTGCCAAATGGATAGATCACAGGAGACAACATGAATTTCTTCCAATTATGACTGAGATCACACCAGATGCTAAGCTGTCGGTCCCCCCCCGACTTTTCTGGCTTGAAGTGTCATATGAACCCAACTACTATATTTATTTAATATAGTAATATTTAGGGCTATCTGTGAGAGTCTGTCATTATCATCATAGGTGGTAATACAATTAAGTCATAACAACATGGAGCTTTTTTCCATTTACTACTTCAGGTGAAAGCTAATTTTTAAATATGAACACAAAACAAAGCATACACAACATAAATCATAACAGATGGCAGTAATTAGGCTGAGCTCAAATCAGATAAAGTTAATATCTGGAGGGGAGACTACCAAGAAATCTCTGGACTGTGGATTAGATTTAGAAGTTAAAAAATAGAAAGAAAGAGAAAAATTCTGGAAGACAATGGCAAACCACTTCCATGTCTTTTGCCTCAAAAACAAGAATACGCTCATGTAGTCACCAAGAATTGAGCTTGATTAATAGGAGATGTAACTATTTGCACAGTGCAAGAAATATATCAAGACAAGGTACACAAAGTATTTTCCTGATTTTCACACATAGCTGAGAAAATGTACACAGGTGTATTAATTAATATAGTATATTAATATGTTTGGGATTTTATTGCATTTATAGATTTTTACTATTTTGCTAACTTTCAGAATCTGGATAAGAACAGTGTATCATATTTTTAAAACATCCTAAATAAATATAAATGCAAGGTAGAATCTCTGCACAAAGTATCTCATACGTGAAATCAGAAATTCTACCTCACCTTTTATCATTCACTGAAAAAAAGTGGAGCAAACCAACAACCTACCATCTTTATTAATAAAGCAAAGTAGGGAGGTCTGGAATGCTTTGCCTCTCCTTGCAGCAGTGGCTATGGGAGATACCTGTATTTTCTTCTATGCAGCAAAGTATCATGTATCTCTCTCTGTGTTGCTGCTCTGTTCTTGTGTTGTGTGTATGTACATGTACCTCGAAGAGCACAGGACAGACTACACAGTGTCTCCTCTGGGTCATGGGACAAGGAAGGAGGGGAACTTAGGATGGAGGTGTCAGTAGCATTCCAACGCATTGCCCAGCCCCCTCTCTCATACAGATCCAGCGGGGATTTTTTTTTCTCCACAGCCCTTGGCCAGATCCAACCAATTTTCAACTTGATCTTTCTTTTGCCAGCTTCTCCCTCCATGCCAAACACGGTCCCATTCCATTCAGTTTTCAGAAAGTGATCGTGCTGATGGACAGAATCCCAAGACCCTTTACATAAATTTTCCAATATTTCACTGAGTAGGAAAGAATAAAAAAATAGACACTTTTGGGTTATTAAGGAGCAGCCAATTCAAACTTATTTCAATATATTCCCAAAAATAGAGAACAGACTGTGCTTAAATGGGCATGCATACGTTAGAATCAAGGATGAGATTCTTTTGCCCCCGGCTTTTTCATGTTTTGGGTGTAAAATGCTGGAGAAATAGAAAGTGGAACTGGAACTGGAAGACAACACTGGTTTCCATTACACTTCTGCAACTGTCTCTTTGTAGGGAAAGGGTTGTTACATTACATGGCATATAATGGCAATGTCCGTTCACAGTCTACCCTTGTTAGGGACCAGTTAGCAAGTTCTATATAGAAATCACATTACCTTTCAGGAATCTGAACTTTTTAAGAAAGTCTGCTCCGACGAAGGAGTCACAAAGGTAGAGAAGAAGACCACTGAAAAACACCCCTTCACAGTTCACATTAACTGAGTGCGGCCGTGAACTGACATAGCAAAGAGCTACCTATACCAGAAATGGGAACAGATACATACATTTAAGCCTTCTTTCTTTAAAATACTTATATCTCAACATTTATGTTCCTGTCCCATCAAATTAGCACATCAGTGGTAAATTCCAAACATGTTCATGTTTAGAATATAGATTATTAGTAACAACTGTTTCCAATACCCTAATCAAGGAACTACCAAGAGGAAAAAAACCCCCGCCAACACTGGCAGGGCACCCCACTGTATATAAACAGAGAGGAAATCCCATTCCATTCTAGCACTGAAGATGTTACCTAGCCAGGTAGTGAAACATTTACGAAAAAACAACCAAGCTCAGAGAACCCCAAGGACTCCATGGAGCAAAAATTGTTTAAATAGTAAAAAACATATCGGAAGAATCTACAATATGCCCAAGAGCATTAAATTGTCTAATCAAACATTTAAAAAAGGAGAAGGTAAAATATTATGGAAAATGGATCTCAAAATTCAAAAGATTTATAAAGCAATTAAAAAGGTTAATATCAGTGCTTCAGCTGAAGAAATATAAACTAAAAGTCCCAAGAATGGAGTTGCCTTGCCATATTCGTTTCTTTCAAAGAGAAGCCTTTGTTTTCTACTGAGTTATAAAATACAAGATTTCTAGATACGTACCTGAGGCCCAATATTCAAATAGCAGTCAACAGCTAAGACCGGGTTTTTAAAGTTATAGATGGCCTTTGGGAAAAGCTTGTAGGTGGCATATTGAAGGAACTTCTCTAAAAGGAACTGAGCTGGAGCTGCCAAGAGGGTGTGCTCGCTGTCTGGAGCACAAACATACTGAAGAGGTATTATTGGAGTCAAACTTTCTGAGATCTGAACAGGAAAACAATATGTCCATATGAAATATACTGAGCAGCATCTTTATATAGCTTAGGGTGCAACTAGCATTCAATTATCAGTTTAAAATGTTGGGCAGAACGGAAAGAGCAAGAAAAACTGGAGCCAAGCTTGAACGGTTCTTGAACAGTACCCAGCAACAGGGATAGCACAGGTGACACTGGGCAGCTAGCATTTCCTATACAGTCCTGGACGTAAGGTTGCTTTGACGCTCCAAGAACCAAGGCGGTGGGGGCAGGGGGGGAACCAGTAAGAAAGAATTAAAATAATCCTATAACAGGCACTCACATTTATACAGGTGCTATGTAATGGCGGCAAGCCTAGATAAATAAATAAACAACCCCCGCCCCAAGAAAGAGTTTTAATATGAGTGCCCAAAACATTTTAAATCTGAAACATTTCAAGTTCAAAGTACGTTGTTCCTATCGTACTGGAATTGTTCTGAGCTATGAATTCAAAACACTTGTGTCAAAATCAAGACAGGCTTTGTTAAGCATGAAACACTTCCGAAATAGTCAGAGTGACAGGTTGCAGCAACCTCTTCTGAACTCAAACTATTTCATATTCAAGATGGTTTACAACGCCAAAGTTTTTTGTGAGTTTTCCATCATTTTTTTTTAAAGCAGCTTTTATCCTAGGCCTGACTCCCGCCATTGCACTACAGAAGCATTCATTGACTGATGAGATCAGCCAGGTAGCGAGCAACACATTTGGCACTGCAGAACTAAGGGCAGCAGAAAATATAGCAAATGTGGTTATATTTAGTTTCTGATTACAGATCCAACGATTATCCAACTTGATAATCATTTGAACAGCAGAATGATTATTAAGAAAGAAGCCGAAGGCCATGTGAGTAGAAGAAGACAGAGCACAGAGCCACAGTTGTTAAGCAGGGTTCCCATACAAAGGCTAAAATATTTCATGATATACGTAAAGCATACAGATGGGAAGAGACTGATGAGGTTGTATCATATGGAGAAGTCAGGAAGTACAGAAATATAATCAATGAATAAATAAAGCAATGGCTTGAAAGGTGAGCAGAGGCTTTATAAGCCATAAAACTAATTTCGTCTCAAACACAGGAAGTTATTCTCTCCCTCCTTTTCATCAGATAGGAACTGATCCTATCTGAGAGCTTATAAACCTGCAGAAGAGCCCACTGGGGTGGTGGGAGTGGAATCTGGTGCAAACTGCACTGTTCTGGACATGGACAGGGGACAGTAATCCAGCCAACGAGTTGCTCCAATAGTGAGATGATCGGGGCACGAACCAGCTGCTTTGTCATTTGACTCCTATAAAAAGTCAGGTGGGATTGGTACCATTTGGGCATCAAAGGGGATGCCTGAGGTATGTCAATGACTCAGAATAGTCCAATCCATCCTCCCTCCCTCCCTTTATGAAACTTTTTTATATCCCACATTTCAAGATAAAAAATCCTTCCAAAGTAGCTTGGGCTTGGAAATGAATAAATAAATATGTAAACTCAAGGAAGCCACACAAAGTAACACATTTCCAGGACTTTCCCACCACAGAGTTGGTGGCAATGGCTCTGTAGGGATTGGGAAGGAAAAGCTTGCTGGGTAGCTCTCACCTGCCTGATTTCCTTCCTCTCTCCAGAGATCCTTCCACAAGACAGTTGGTGGAAATGGCCCTGGGGTGGGATCTGAGGGAAGAATCCAGCTGAGCAGATAAGAAAATAGAGGCTCTCTTCTTCAGTTCTATCTAAAGCTCTCCAAAATGTTTTAAAAGAAAAGCAAAATACAACATACAAAACAAAACAAAACAAACAAAAAAACACCCTTTGGCTTGGGGCATCTGTTGAGCTGTATCCAAGGGCTCACATGAGTAATGAGAGTAATATGGTCATTAGGTCTGGTAAAAAAAATATCCAAGCCAATCAACCACAGCAAGTGCTCCAGCAGCTGTTCCTGGCGGTCTCCACAGGAGTATGCACCCACAGCCCCTTGGCTTGGCTCCTGCAGGTGGCACAGCATCTCTTTCAAAGGATTAACACTGCCTTAATGCAGTGTTGTCCAAACTTGGCCACTTTAAGATGAGTGGACTTCAACTCCTAGAATTCCCCAGCCAGCCATGACAGCCAAGTCTACTCATCTTAAAGTGGCCAAGTTTGGACAACACTGGCCTTAATGGTTAGGAAGGTCATTGGTATACCATAATAATTCCTCTAACAGGGAAGTATGCAGACTCTAAATTGCTGGACTCATTTCCTTTTGTTTTTCTATAACCTTTCTAGAATCATCTGGCCAGGTACAAAATGTAAGGAAAATGTGGGAACCCAGTTCATTCATTGCGGATGTTTACCACAGCATATATTTGTGAGTTAAACAAAACCCATTAAGAGTGTCTATAGACAAATGGTCAAGGTCTAAAAGAACCTCTACAATTTATAAAAGAAGTTGCATGATTTTTCATGGTTCCTTATTTTTGTAATATATCTTAATGACTGGGAGAGGAAGGTAGGTTGCTCATTTTGTTAAACAACAGGGGGTCATAAATAATAATAGTAATAAATTATTAAATTTATATGCCACCTGACTCCCAGTGACTTGCCAATCAATTGCAAACCAGTCAGATGTCTGTCAGACCTTATCTTCTCCCCATGACCCACTGCCAAGCACTGAATGTAGCCCTTGGACCATTACCCGTGGCCTAGAGAGATTAATGACTTGGCACTCAGAAACCTTTCCCCTTACCTATGACTTCATAAGGATAATGGAAGAGGGGGGAAGCGAGGGGAACACAAATTTTTCCTCAGGTAAAAACAAGCACTTTCCTTTTCCACTCACCATAATTTTAGGTTTAATATCAAAGTCTTTTTGACCGCCAACCTGGATGTGTTTCTTCATAAGACTGAAGTTGTTAAAGCAACAGATAAGTAAGCCACTGCTGTTTGTTCTCAGATTAAAATCCACATCTTCACAGAAATACCTAAGCAATTGAATATAATTTACATGTGTTTATTCAAGGTAGGCTTCCCAAACGTGGTGCACTCCAAATATGTTGATACTACAATTCCCAAAATTTAAATTCTGTTAAAGGAAAACATTATATAGGAACTCCTCTCATTGATCTTTTTCAGAAGAGAAAATGGAGGCAGGCAGGGACAAAGAGGGAAAAATGTAATGAAATGGCTGTACATGGACAAACATGTGAAGACAGCCAAGCTAGTGGCATACCTGACTTGCATACATTTACTCACCTGTTTAAATCATATTGCACATTTTGGGTCAGGTCTATGTTGAGCAGTATAAAATCATGTATGTGGCATCTGGAAAAGGGGTTTTTGGGTGCTCTGGAATTCAATTTGCTGTTCCATTTCTGGATGCCCAGTATTGCATAATGGACAATTTTTGGTGTGGCTTCAATATGCTGCAGAACACTCTTTAGAGACACATTTTTGCTGGTTGATCCTTGATCCATACATTGACTACTGAAAGGCAAAAAGACTGATTATATTACATCCCAATGATAACGATAAAGCATACATAAAGATAATGAGCGTACAAGAAGTCTGCTAGAAAACAAACCATTTTAGGTAATTTGTGACTCTAGCTGCTTACAGTTTATTTCCTAGTACTTAGGAAATAAACATGGAAAATGGTAGAGCAAATGCAGCATTTTTCTTGGATCATTGAGAACCAGACTTAAGCTACCATTCTTCAGTCTTTCAGCTTAAACTAACGAAGAACTGACTATTTTTATGAAGATACTAATATTGGATGCCTTATGGGACTTCCACATGACATCATTTTCACTTCCCAATATCTCTCAATTGTTTTCAAGCAGATTGTGTGATTGTCTTGACTTCTGCAGATTTCAGCATGCAGAGAATCAACAAGGAACACCATGGGTTAATCAATGTTTTCTCTCCAGCTGAAAAACAGATGAGTGCAAAAGGTATCATTTCCTCAATGCATCATTCCAAGCTACTCCATCTTGGAAGAACAAAATTCTCTTACATCCCCTACTTTATGCAAAAGGGAAACAAAATAAATTGCTTGCAACTGCTCTCCAGTCCACATTTTCAGTTCACTTTGTGAGCATTCAGTCACCTGCAAAACATCTTAGTGTAGGATAAAGCTGCATCCAATCAAGGTATCATTCCACCTGAATTAAAGACACCATTGGGAGCAGTGAAGGTGGTATGATATTGCAACATTAATTTTACAACTAAGCACTTTCCCCAAACCTTCTAGCCACGGTTGTAAGCTACTGCAGCAGTCAATGTAAGGAAGTTTTAAACAACCCTCATAGACAGAGATTAGCAACAGGGTCCTGTGGAGCACCCAAAATCTGCTCTCTCTCTCACACCAACTCCATACAAAAGGAAAAGAAATTACACTCACTCCCATCTAGTGGGTAGTGAGGTCTTCAAAAAATAGGAAATGTACAGATTGCTGTAAGTGGAGAATGCAACAATGCTAATTTAAGACCATCACCTTTCAGAGAATACAGAGCCCATAGAGTGAACCCAACCACAGATGCCAAAAAACATATCCCAGAACAATGATAATTTAAAATAATGATGTACCCAATAGCTGGAATGATTAAATAGCAAAGGAAAGGTGAATAATCAGGTCAGAGAAATCAGATCAGGCCTGTACTTGTTCTTGCCCATGTTTTCTATACACTTGGGCTAGTCTGTCATGGGAATACTGGTTATAATTTTACATTTTGTGTATAAAATACATAGAGAAGAAGACATTCTATGTTGACACTGAACTACAATCACAGTTTGGACAGTTGATTAAGAATGAGAAATACGAAGGGGAAAAAGACACAGAACTAAAAACTCATTACTCTTTAGGGCCTAATTCTCTTAGAAAACACTGTAGATCTTAAACCAATAGACTTCCAAGTTAAACATATGGTAGTCATGCAACCATAAAAATATACTACTGAGCCTCTATCAAATCAGATTCATTAATGGACATACACAACTGCATTAAAATGTTGAATCATGGCTTTAAAATGAGAAAGAGAAACCGCTGAATATATTTGAGATTATCCTTAGTGCCATTTCCCTTTCATTTTTTTAAAAAGCTCTTAATTTCAAACAGCAGATACAGCTAAGGTACAGAACAGTGTTTCAAACACTTTAGTCACTTTGGTGCAATATTCATATGATGGGGGTTCCCTAATAAAGCAAAGGTATCAGGCTACTGATCCTATCCTATATATAGGATATTCCATTTTAGATGCCTAAAGGAGTATGTAGATTATGTTATCAAAGATCATCATCACAACAACCTTGCTCTTTCCTGCATGGAATTGGTGGATATGCCATTAGGACTAATGCTGTATTGATCCAAAATTCTGCTGTCGGCCATGAGTGCCATCTCCGCATTGAGAAACTTACCTAGACTGTTCTTGGGCAGCATGACTGTTCCATAAGACACAAGAATCATCCATGACAACAATAAATGGCCAAACACACTGACGTTTAACTCCCAGTTCCTCCAAACGGTTTCTTTCCAGTTCCAAGTTATGGTAAGAAAGTTCTTTAATTAGGAATCTGGCAGCACCTGAAAAAACAGACCTTTTTTTAAAAAAAAAAAAAAAGACTAGACTTCCAAATCCTGAAGAAAAGTTGTGAATTTATTAAAATAGGTAACAGGGAGATTGGTTTTTCTGATTTCTGAGGAGCAAGAATTGTTGAGCTTGCATGAAAGAGTCCAAAGAGAAGCAGATTCTGAAACTAAGGCTAGTTCAGTGTTTTTCAACCTCAGCAACTTTAAGATATAAAGTAGGGTTTTCTTCCTTTCTTTCTCAGTTTGCATTTTTAGTTTGTTTCTCTATTTTTTAAAGTTTTTTTTAAGTTCCAAGATTGCTTTGTTAATTGTGTATGTATAAAATTTTTAGAAAAATAAATTCTTTTTAAAAAAGTAATAAAATGTACATGAATTTAACAGAGGACATAGGCAAGCATATTGTTAAAGATGCTACAAAGAGTGGAATTTACTACTATTTAAATGTTTGATACTCACTAAGCTGAAATATTTTTATACAGTTACATAAACACTCATCTGTTTTTATCCATGGGAGTTTTCTCCCTTCTCTCCATCTTGCAAACAAAAGGAAAATGTCCTTATTCTGGGTATTACTCACCAACTCCTGCATTGTTGAACATGCCTGGCAGAACCAGCATGATATGGTTGGGCCAATATTTGCGATAAAGCGGCATTTCATATTCCTTGACCACAAGAAGATGGAGGTGGCTGATACCTTCCATAGCGTGGTAAAGATTCAAGAGACCATGTTCATGACGTCCGCTTGAAGGTGTAAAAATAGGACTCTTCACTGTATTCAAATTCTGCAGGATGACAAGCCAAAGGCAGATATTATGTGTCTTCCATATGTACTCATTGTCTGTGATGTTGATGTTATTCACTTTCTGGACTATGAGATACAAAGAAAAAATCAGACTGGGAGAATTCTGCCAATTAGAGCATTCTTCAATTTCACTGCCTTCTCTTTTTCCCATAAATGTTGTGATTAATAATTTTAAATAGTTATGTAGTTGTAATATAGAATTTATGTATGTTGGCTTTATTCCTGAAATAATAACTTCTTGATAGGTTGAGAGATGGAAAAGGGGAGCTGGCAGTGATACTAGCAAAGTATCTACCAATGGATCAGTTTTTTGAGTCCAGAAAACCCTCACATGCACCCCGAATGCAATCTCATCAAATGGTAAAATCTCACCAGTATTGGTTGTGCTCCTCTATCTAGATTAAAGGTGGATGGGCAACATTTTCAGAAATCAGCATTTTTAACAATGATCTCTAGTAGTGTCAGCCCTTCAAGTTAGGTCAGAAAACAGACACCACAATAAATACGAGAACTCTACTTTCTTGATATAAATTATAACAACAGAAACTTGAAAGCTTGACAGTGTTTCTCTTTCCCTCCCTCTTATACTAAATAGAGACAAGGCGGAACTCTCTTGAGTTTCTTTTTCACTACCTTCCCCTTCCTGGTTTTCAAGGTTACGTTCATGTTTTCCTAATGGCTGCTGCATGTGTTCTTCAAGGCCATCCCTGCACTTCTCTACTAGCTGGGGAAGGGAGCTTTTTAGTTCCTGCTTGTCTCCCAGCAACCATTCTCAATGTTTGCTGGTTTCCCATGGAGAGTAGTGAAAGAAATCCACGAACTTGTGCAGCAGTTTTTAGTCCCTGTACATCTTTGTATCTATCATGTATATTTGGACATGCACATGCACACACACCTCAACCCTGAGCAACGAGATGCTGCCCATGTGGCTGAAAAACTATCCACCCGTGGGTTAACTGAAGGTAATGAAAAAAGGACCTAGTTCAGACTCTGGAACTGAATACCAGCCTCTTAGATATACTCTTTTACACTTGCATGTATCTACGTAACTCACCATCTCATCCAAAACACATTTCACCAACCTTATCAGATACAAGAGGAAGACGCATGCTTTCCAAATGTCTGCCCTGTTTGCTGAAGACAAAATAGTTCTCTTTGGATTTAGGAATGATAAAATGTAGCTGAATCTCTTCTCCTAACATTGAGGATGAGAATGTAAATGCATGTAGGGTGGAATCAGATATCTGCATACAAGGGAGAAAAAGGTACTGTAACCCACTAAGGAAACCAACTGCCAATATTAATCTACTTTAGTTCATGAGGATATATTACCAAAATTTTACATATGCAGGCAGCATATTTGGATTACTCTTATTAAAATACTATCAGCAAAATAGGATCCATTTTCAATAGATTAGTCTTTTGCAAGGATATGATACATGCTGTTGGACTCATCTTTTTGCATCACAATTTAGAATAAGAAGAATGTTTTTCATATTGCTAGTAAAACCTTGACCATGGTCATATACTAATGAATATGGGCTAAGACTATGTGATGCTTTAGATTTGATTCAGAAGAGATGTTTCAGAACACATAGGAATACAAATATAGCACTTGTCTGCAACTTATTGGAGTAGTTGTGTCTGTTTCCAGGATCACATGGATACAGCAGACACCTGTACAATCCGGAAAAATGATGCAGCTGCTTTAATGAGTCACCAACAGGTGCTATGTTCATATTCCTGTGTTTTTGAAGCACTTCTTCCACTGAAATGCAAAGCATCTGCTGGCATGTATTTGGCATACAGTAACTTATTCCAAAAGAGAAGCATCACTAAGCTTAAAATGAAAGTTAATGTGGAGATATGGTCAAAGCAAAAAGCGAGAAACTCCTTATAAATCTCAAAAAGCCTTGAAATAACTGTGATGCTGATTATGTGCAATGAGAGCATAAAAATGTTGTTACAAGACCAAGTTATTTATACTATTCCAGAACATTATCTTAAGAGCTACACTGTGAAGCTATACTGGTTTTCATGACTCTTACATTTTCACTGAAAAATTGGTATTTCTGTTAGGGGCAATGGTGTTCCCATAACAAATAGTAGAGCCCTAGACTCTCAAGTAAAAAAACGATGGTGATTAAACCTGATAAGAAAAACTATGAAGTGAGCCATCCATGGCCTGCTGGCAGCATATATTCACGTTCTTGGGTCCTATGAAGACCCCCAACACTGCACTGCTGAAATAGAGTGGCAACTGCCAATTGTTGATATTGTGACTTTCCCCATTTTTAAACCAAATTACAAATAGGTGTGTAAAAGACCCCAGTATGTCGAATATACCTATTTTGCCTTTAAATCTTCCAATGCAAAAAGAGACCAAATATTTCAATTCTGACCCACATCTTAATTTTTTTTAGATTTTTATCCTTCCAGCAACTCAAGGTAGCAAACACAGTGCTTCCTTTTCCAATTTTTCTCTCAAGCCACAATCTTGTAAACCCCAAGGCACCCTATGAACTTCCATGGCTGAAGATGAACTTGAAACTGGGGCTTCACAGTCCTATTCAATACTTTAACCACTACTCCACTCTGCTCTCATAAGAACATCACGTTCTATGACCCCTAGAAACCAATATTTTCTTCTCCAATGTGGCTCCCAGTGGAAAAAATGTCACCTGCCCCTGGCCTACATGGAACCATTGCATACCGGAGCTGAAGGATTTATGTCCATATATTGATGGCACTGTTCACAGTGGTGGAAAGTATTGTAGGCTGCGTACTTAGTCAGCATCATTGAAACAGTATTTCGCTTTCTGGGTTCTTCAACTTTGGTTTCTTTGCTTGGTTCTGTGGACAAAGGCAATAAAAGGAAAACAGTCAACTTAAGGAATCCTAAAAATGATTTAATTGTCAAAACAAACTGATAAGGGTTCTGAAAGGCTAGGTAGAAGAAGAAACCATAATTTAGTTTTCCCTTACCCTGCTTTATTTTTTGTAGTTGCTCTGTATAGACTGGACTCATAAGAACATATTTGGGATCATGCACACTGAGGTCAAAATTCATTTTCCTGACAATTTCAATGTCAGGCCACTGATCACTGCTAGACTGGGCAATTTCATTGTCTTCCGTATGATCTAAAAAAAGTGTGAATACCTTTTTTAATACCTAAATCATAGTTTTATGTTACCTAAATTCTTCATGCAGATTACAATGATATTTCAGTAATTCTTACAATTACAATTTTAAGTCTATAAAAACTATAAAGTCTTTTGCAGGTACATCTCTTATTCTGAGACACAGTATGGCTTAACTACGTATATGGGGTCAGGACTATGAAAAATAAATAATCTTTAGATCATAATTATTTTAATGTAATTCAATGTAATAAAATACAATGATATATGCTAGAGTAATACATTTATAGGATAATACATTTCCAGAATATAGGGACTATTGGTGAGTCCATGCTAACCATATCAGTCAAAAACAGTACTTCATATGCAGGGATAAACCAGAGGCATGTAATCATCCATTGCTGGAGAATGATGGCTTTTATTCTGAATCATCAAGTCTTTTCTTATAATATCAATGTTCTTCCTACAAAAGGTAGATACTACTCACAAATAATAATAGTCATGTGCCCTTTTAGGTTCATAAATGATGCTGCTATTCTATAAATGGCATAACATACAATGCTTTATCCACAAAATGGATTAAATACATAATGTAATATCTAATGCAGATAGCTCTCAGCTGAAATTTTCAGTCAGGGATATAGATTTCATACTTACCAAGATAAATTAGAATAACTTCAAAAGCGTGAAATTACACAAATGTCTCTAAAAATAGTATTTTATCATCAGGGAAATTATCAGGGAGAATGTTGGCCAAGGATAATTTGATATAATAGGCTCAGTATATTCCTAGCTCTGATTTGTCATTACTCCTTCCAATTTTTCATGCTAACACAATGCCCAAATTTATACTACAAGAGTTGGCCTTCTCTTCTCAGAGCACTCTGTATGCTTTACACACATTAGAGAGAACTGTCTTCAGAAATTAGAATACTGGCTGTTAGTACTTACTGATATTAATATCTTCCTCATCATACACATCTACCTCCAGCAATCTGATCAGCATTCGAAAGAGAATTCGTAGGAACTGCAAGTAAGATCCAGTTTTCCCTACCTAAAACAAAAACAAACAAACAAAGAAAAAACAGCTTCTGAAATTATACTATCAGAAAAGCATACTGTGTTCATTTGTTTCTGGGATCTCCTCCTTCAATCATTTCAGAAAAGAACTAATGTTCATTCAAGCTGTGACACACAAAATGTTTGATTGGCAGTACACTTTAGAGCACCAAGCATCTATTAAGTGGGATTTCAGAATATTGATTTTTAAAGAACAATTTATCTAGCCTCTATGCCACTATGAATTTTTCAAAAACAATAGTTATGCTTTAAAGCTCTTTCAGATATAGCTCTGAGATGTCAGAAGCTAATGATTCATGAGCAGCTTATAAAATCAAGTCATTCTTCACAGAAATCTTTCTTTAGTTAAATATGCTTGCTTGTCCAAACTTTCATCATTACTGTAATTTACTGAAAATTCAGTGATCCCTTGCAGATAAAGCCTCTAGAGTAGAAAATTATGTGCTTACATTTGGAGTTATTTAACAAAACAAGGATTCAGATTACAAAACCTTCACATGTCTTCCAATTATTTGATTCAAATGTTATTAGCTAATACTAATATTATTTAAATCAATGTTAGGCATAATTAATCAGCTCTTCTTCTCTTAGTAGAAATAAAATAATAACATTAATTCAGTCATCCATTCTGTTTTCCCTCACTATCCAACATCCAACATTTTAATCAATACAGGATTGATGCATTCCTGCAAACATATTATCAATTTTTGCAAATTATTTTTATTTAAATCAGGAATTTTATCCAGTTTTAAAAGAACAGGGAACTTTCCAAGTCATATACTTCATGTAACAATTCATCACTCATTTTAAAATAGCAATTATTATCCCTTCCTTGCACTAAAACCTGAGGGAGGTACGTGACAATTATACAAGACTAACATGACCCAAGCTGTTATAGTAATTTTTCCTACACATCTGTGAACACCAAGCTTTCAGACAAGGACACCAAAAATGCTAGAACTTGCAAATGCTGTCTGTGCACTGAGGCACATAAAATTAATTATCAGTTGTTTAATAGCCTTGACCATTCTGAAAGGAAAACCATTGAATGATCAGGGACCTTAACAAAATAATCTATTGGTTTTTAATTGCTGGAAAGGTATTACTGAACATCTCAGAGCTCTCCTCAACCTTGGAAGTTAATGCTTTCTAATACTTTTATAAAAGGAGAATGGCTTCCTCAAAAAACTGTTACCCTAAAACTAAGATGAAGTCCTGGGTGAGGGCTGAAATGGTTTCAATGGATAATGTTTACAGGATCAGTTTTTCCCTGCTTTATATTTGCTTCCAATAAGTTCCATTTATATTTTCATGAATAAAATTTATTACACATATTATATAGACCCCAATCCCCAGCATGTTCTGGTTTGAAGAAAATAGTATTTTGTATTCCTGACTATGGATTTCTCCTTGCCTGCAGGAAGTAGATGTATGTTACGAACAAGCATGAACATGCAAGTGCTAAAAGGCCCTTTTAAATATTATTACTCAGCTGCAAAGGCTAAAAATATGTTCCATAGCATTTCATTGACACCAGAGACTTCGTAGTATTTTGGGGATATGATATGAGCAGATGATGAATCAGGGAAAAAAAACCAATAATTATGAGGGCAAGACTGAGACAGTAGAAGAAGGGGAAAGCAATAGCTAAGGTGGAAGCACAGGATCAAAAGAATCCCTGGAATTCCTTGGAAACCAGAGACTGATCAAGATGGTGAACATTTGTCCTTGCAGTGACCAAGAGTCCAGTCCAACTCACTGACACCTAACTAACCATACACATTTGAGCTTTCTTTTCTCATATTAGTAATACTTATTACCAGGAGCATTTCCACTTATACATGATTTCCAAACGACAGCCAAAATCCCAGTAGTTAATTACATCAACAGAAAGATATCAGAAGTCTATCTGAGGCTGTGCTTCTGCAATAACTCATGCCCAATAGGAAGAAATACTGTGAAATGATTTGGCCACATTTGCACAGATTGATAAATTGAGATTTGTGGTTTACTCTATTAGTGCCTCTTTCCACAAGTTATTCAAACTAACCAGATAAGGATATCTTATCATAACATCTAAAACCAGGATCCAGAATCCTTGTTTAATGTTTATTATCCAAAAATAATTTGGAATTCTTCTAATTTATAATTCTAGCTTTTTCAAGAACAATGAACTAGAACTCTGGTTTAGATAGCATTAAACTTTAGCCCTTCCTGGTTATTTTTATTAATGTCCATGAAGGAAGGACAAAGTCACAGCAAGCAGGCAGCATGCACTAGTTTGTTGCTCATTCTTACAATTATGCAGAAGCATCCAAAATTCAATTAAGAAACACAGAGAGTTAAGTAACCTGGCACTAGCCCTCCTCTGAATCCAGTGAAGATGCAACCACGCCTGCTCTGAAGCACAGGCTTCTTGGCTTGATTATACACAGTTCATAGGGAAAAATAGATCCAGAATAGTGTCCAAATGTCACTGGAAGGTCATTGGTTTGGGTACAACTGACGTCAAAACAATCATAGATTAGATTTCACTTTCCAAGGATTCCATGCAGTGAATCACACTATTATGGAAGCATTTAACTATTACAGCCTGGAATAAAAGATTCCAAGGAGTTTACATGCTTCAAATAGCCATAGTTGCTTATAAACTGTATTTCTCAACATGTATTTTTATCATTAACATATGTGAATTACTAAACATTTTGATCTTTCTTATTTTCTAACAGAGCCTTCCTTAACCTGCTTAGATGTTTAAGAATTTCTACTTCCAAAATCCCTAGCCAGCATGCTCAAAGGCTGGGAAATCTCAGAGTTATCACCCCAACTCATCTGGAAGGAGCCAGGCTGGGGAAGGCTGGTCTGCCCTATGACATCTATTTATTTACCTGAGGAGGCCCTGTAAGAAGTAGTCGTCGTGGATGAAAACTCCTGCTGCTTGTGGTTTCACCATGGTTGCTGTAGTCTGCATGGTGTTGCCGTGCTGCAGTCCACTGTCGGTAGTAAAGAGACTGCTCTTCACTGGTCATATCCTTGTGAAGCAAAGGTCTTAGTGAGCTCACCCAAGACACGTCAGCATGAGGTAACAGAGCAGAAGAAAAAGATGGCTGCCCACTTTTCTGTGAGCCAAGGAGGCAGTAGGCAGCTTTTGACAAGATCACAATTCGGGGTAAGGATATGTGCAATGCCTTGCAATCTTTTGCTGACTGGTTAGGCCATCGGAAGGTCTGGCTGACCGAAGGGGAAGCTGCTGACAATTTAGAAGTGGTGCTGCTCGCTATCTGGTTGGCTAGAGAGTCACATTCTTGTTTCAAAGACTCCCCAGCAGCAAAGCCTTCATCAACAGAGCTACTAGCAACATTCTGGAAGTTCATAGACAGTGATGGCTTTTGAGACTTGTCTGTAGTACTAGAGGAGCTCACTCCATTTTCTGCTATAGAACCTGAAAGATAGATTGAAAGGAAGGAAAAGGAACGGCTGAAGGATATTCAGTAATATACAGTACATACTGCACTGTCCTACAACTTCTATACCAAAAACATCCAGCTTACACTTGGAGCTTTGGAACAACAGAAATGATCAGGAGAGGATAAGTAAATACAGGTGAACAGAGAATGGATCAGATGTGTATAGTACAAATTTAAAGTTATGCAGAAGTGTAACAGAACAGTCCATATCACATTTTTGTGTGAAAAAAAAGTGTGCATTCCTGCCCTTCCTACAATTTATAAAAGGTGTAGGAGGTCTGCCATCAGCAATAATGTATAACAGGGGTCAACAAATGTTTAATGTGCAGCCACCATTACATGAAATATCCTCAGATCCAAAAAATTTTTTTTTGAAAAATATTTCTAAAAGATACATTAAAAATGGCCAGAATCTGTGAGAGATCTCAGAACAGAGATACCATGCAAGATTTAAGTATTAAAGATTTCAGCCATGTTATCTACAAATGTGTTATTGTAGTGCCATGTTGTCAAACATCAGTGTATAATGTTTAGGATGACAAAGATTCGTGTACAAAAAAATGCTACCATTTTTTTTCTTCACTCAGGCCCTGTGACTAATAGCAACTAGGCAGCCAAAAATTAAATATAATTTGCACCAGGATGGAGGCAATGATAAAAACATTTTGCCTTTTGTCAACAGCACATGAGCAAGACCTGAGAAGAAAAAAGCATCAATCTTACAACAGCAGTGCTTAAAGCTATTAGCCAGAAAACCACTGGAATACTGGGTTACTAGGTCTAAACCCAGGAAAGTTCCTTTTTATTTAAGATTCAGTGTACTCTCAACCTTTTTTAAAATGTTACAAGATCACAATGAAGCACTGGGATTATGGCCTCCCTACCTATTTTAAGTCCCACTATACCACTAGCCAGTATAACCTCATTCAGTATTCACTGAAATCAAGCATTGGTATAAAGGACTTAAAAGCAGCATTTGAGCACCAACCCATAATGTAATTTGTTTGTTTATGGCGTAGTGTGCTGTATATAATCAGCCAATTTTGATTTAATTAATCATTCATGGATACGCAAGCCATATTTTAGTGTAATGTGGAACCACTCATACCATCCTGTTGCCAGCTCCCAATCACAGATATCTGCATAAATCCTAAAAGATTAACAGAAAAAAACCCACTCCAACAAGTCCAATTTCTCCAAATTTTCAAACACAATGATCTCAAAAGGAACATCTAATGAGACTATAATTTTTACAAACCTAGGGCTACCAGATCTGGGATGCAAAAATCCAGATTACCCTTCTATAGCAGCAAGGACTGCGTGTTTTCTATATTTCTTTGATACCATCTAATAGTCATCTGGATTTTTGCAGTCAAGATTTGGTAGACCCAGCACAAGTCTTAAAAGATCAGGAATCCTGTCCAGAAAGGGAAGAACAAATCTGGGTCAGGGTTACATCAATATTTTATTTTTTCAATGAGCTCATAGTTCTGGGAGGAAGTACAAAGTTTTTCCCCTCACTCCACAAATATTTTATTCTTACTGCTACATGGCTGAAAGTGACTGTCCCAACGTCTTTCAATGGCTTCAGGGCTCAGTAGAAATTTGTATATATACTCCTTTAGTACTGGTTCAGTGCTCTAATCTCTACATATCCTGGCTACTATATTCACCTTTTAGACAAAAAGGAAAGCACAATAGGCCAGGCTTTTCTTTGCTACTCATCTGGCATCAATGATTGTGCCATCCCTGCCCACTGAGCTACAGTCCATAAAGGTCACAATTAGGCTGCATCAGAAAAAAATTATGCAATATCAGTTTAGAAAAGAGAAGACAGCATTCTTTTCATAATGCTAATTGGAAAGATATTTCAGCCTTCCACCTACATTCAAGGCTATCTGGAATCCTGCATAAAGAAGAAGATATCCATTACTAATAATATTGTGCAGTTACCTTCAAAGTACCTCAGACGAGAAAATTGCTATGTTTAGATCACCATTATAGCCATATGCCAGTTTCCTAGAAGTCAACTGCATGCTAGGTACGACCCTATGTCTAGACAAAATAAAATGGCATTCTAGGTGGTAGAATGGAACAGGCAATGAATGGAAACTAAATTCTCATGACTGTATTGGCAATAACCAGTCTGCCCCAATGCCTTGCTATAAGACAAGAGTAGCAAACTTGAGGCTTAAGGTCTATAAGCAGTTCCTAAACCCCTTTTTTGAGGCCCTTAGAGACCCCATCAACCTCAGTGGCCATAAATTGGCAACAGTTTCCTACCTTTTTAAGTAGAAAATAGAAAATGTTCTGGAAGCCCTAAAAAGGCTTTGATATACTAAAAAAATGTTCTGGAAGCCCTAAAGGAGGCTTTGATACACTAAAAAAATAAAGAAAAAGAAAAAGAAAATGGAAGAAGAAAAATTCCAAAATTCCTGCCTCAAACCTAGGAAATAAATAGAAAACTGGGCCACCCACAGGTGTGATCCTCATTTACCAAATACATATTAAGTTCAGCCTCTGACCATTCAGTGCAGCCCACCCTGATGAAAGGACACTTAGAATCAGACATTTAGGATGACCAGCCACTCCAGAGAGCTGTCACAATTATAACCCTCATCCTGAGGAGTATCCAGGGTCCTAATAGCAAAGCACAAGTAAAGGAAGTACAGTGGCTGCCTCTTGCTTGATGACATGGGTGGCTACCATAGCCACCTTAAAATGCCTCACTCTTCTAAGGGCAGAGTATGGATTGGATGAGAGTCTCGCTAATAGGTGAGGAAGCAACTGCGGCAGCACCAAAGATGGCTGTAGTACTTCCACCTCAAATAGTTGCTTCTCTTGAGCTGCCTCTGCACAACCCTTCCACTTCTTCCATCTCCATCCTCCCATTCTGAAACAATCATTCTGGATCATTTTAAAGGTCCACCTATATCCATTTCTTTCCATTTTCCTTTTTCCGCTTGTCCTATTCTCTCCTAAAATCAATGTCCTCTTCTATTTTCTTATCTCCTGCAAAAACTGCTCTGCAGTTGGACAAAAGGCATTCTTTGCAAGGTATAGCTCTGAATGGTAAAATTAAGAACCAACCTGAAGTTCCAGTCACAGCACTGCTGTTGCTTTGTGGCCTCTCCAAGTCAATCAACAGCTCATCAGTATCGTTCTCACCAATGCTGGTCTTCTCTTGCTCCTTTTCACTAAGGTCAAGGGCTACAATAGGCCCTCGAATTGCATCCTTTGAAACATAGCAGCATGCTAGACCTACTTCTTGTTCTAAGGCTGTGCGAGTTAAATAGCTTGAATCAATCAGTCGAAGATCACAGTATTTCAAAGACCTGGGAAAAAACAATATAGAGGGACTTGCTGGAAGATGGGGTCACCATTCTTGTCATTTAAAGTGATAAGTGATACATATCCATGAGAAGTCAGGACAGACTTTTTATACAAATAAAATAAAATGCAAATTAACTATAGTGATTTATAAAATATGAAATTGTCAGAGTTTGTTTGCTTGCCACAAAAAAGACGATTTGGGATGCAGAGGCAGTCACCAGGATTTTTCAGAATTTTGTTGAACCATATTCTGTTTTATTACTCCCCATCCAATTTTTTCCCCTTAGATTGGGGTTTTAAATTACAAGATTGGTAATTTAGTTGCCTCTACATATTACCAAAGATGCTTCCTTGTCATAGTATAGCAAGGCACAGTTTGTTGCACTTCTACATTCATGTTCTTAGAGATTACACATGTTCACCATACATGCTACAGTGCAAAAACTGGGTGTAATCAAATCAAGATTTTTCCTTTATGCTTTAATAATCAAAGCACATGTAGTTATTGGTTAAATTACAGTACTTAAAGGAATCCTTCAGGAATTGACTTTCAGTATGTACAGTTTTTTGTGGGAACTATCATTATGTATTAGAAGTGTCCAGAATGTTTCAGGATTGAAACATTCCAACTCCAAAACATCCCTTCCAAATCCAGTGTCACTGTTCCAGTGCCAAAATGATCTGTTCTGATCTTACCAGAAGTAAGGCAGGGCCCTAACCTTGAAACAGTGATCCAGTCTTAAAATAGGTCAACCCAGCAACTCTTTCAAATGGCTCATTTCAAAGTCAGACAAATTCTCGTAAAGTCAGAACATGCCATTCCAACAGTAGTGCTTAAAAGTTTGTGAACCCTTTTGAATTTTCAATATTTCTGCATAAATATGACCCAAAATGTGATTTGTTCTCCACATAAGTCCTACAACTAGATAAAGAGAACCCAGCTAAACAAATGAGTCAAAAACATTATAGTTGTTCAGTGATTTATCAAGGAAAATTATCCAAAGCTACACATTTGTGTGTGTCAAAAGTATTTGAACCTTCTCTTTCAGTAACTGGGGCGCCCTCTTGGGCAACAAGAACTGCAGCTAAACATTTCCAATAACTGATCAATCCTGCACATCAGCTTGGAGAATTTTAGCCCATTTATTTTTACAGGACAGCTTCAACTCAGGGATGTTGGTGGGCTTCCTTGCATGTACTGCCCGCTTCAGGTCCTTCCATGACATTTCTATAGAATTAACATCAGGACTTTGACTTGGCCATTCCAAAACATTAACTTCTTCTGCTTTAACCATTCTTTGGTTGTATAACTTGTGTATTTTGGTTCATGACCCACTTGCTCTTGAACTTCAGTTTACAGACAGACACTCCAACATTTTCCTTCAGAATTTGCTGGTACAATTCAGAATTCATAGCTCCATCAATGATGGCAAACTGACCTGGTCCAAAGGCAGCAAAGCAGGCCCAAACCATGTGACTGCCACCACTACATTTCACAGATGCAATAAGATTCTTATACCTGAATGCATTTTGTCAAACATAATGCTCTTCTTTCAAGCCAAAAAGTTCTAGTTTGGTCTCATCCATCCACAGAACATTCTTCCAATAGCCTTCTGGCTTATCCATGTGGTCTTTTGCAAACTGTAGATGGCAGCAATGTTCTTTTCGGAGAGTAGTGGCTTTCTCCTTGCAACCCTGTCATATATACCACTGTTGTTCAGTGTTCTCCTGATTGTGGTCTCATGAACACTGACATTCACCAATACAAGAGAGACATTTAGTTCCTTAGACATTACCCTTTACTTCTTTGAAATCTCCTACACTGTGTGCACAATTATTAGGCAAGTGAGCATTTTGACCATATCATCATTTTTATGCATATTTTCCACCTCCAAGCTGTATAAACCTGAAT